CACTTCATTTATGTTAAAATCATTAACCTAGAATATTAGAACACGTCCTCGGTAACACTCCACAGAGATAGGCGAGTGGAGGACCCCCATTGTAACTAGAATCACAAACAGGATTTTCCGCATTATTACTTGAAAAATTGTTAATCTTAATAATTGGAGACACATCCTCGGAAACACTTCACAAAGATACGCAAGTGGAGGACTGCCCCCGTAACTAGAATCTCTTGGAGGGAGAGCGTGACTTGAGTGTATAGATCTATACGGGATTGACAACCCTCGCACCTGGCTGATACTACAGTCGAACCGAAAGGTTCAAGGGTGACGAAAGTCATAAATTGATGATGGACTACTTATTGCCATATATAGTCTATCGTATGGTTATGGAACTCGCAATTTAGATAACAGAGATTTACTTGTTGGTAATAATGGATCTAGTAAACTAATAACCTTATGAATTAGTTTACCTTTCACACAATAGTTTTATATACATGTTAAAACTATCATAAATTTCAAGGGTAACCAGGTTTTCAGGAAACATCACACGAACACTTTAAGTATAGTAGATACTTGTACACTACATTTAGAACCGATAACCGATTACAAACTTTTAAGGAAAATAAGGGTTTTTCCTGTGATAACAAACTGTACATAACCAGAATGTATAACAAACAGATAACCAAACTTTACACATAAGAAAATATTGGATGTTCTTGGATAACAAACTTTTTCAGAAACCAAAAGAAACTTGTTCATTTTCAGAAAACAAACCTCTTATGAACTCACCAGCTTTATGCTGATTTTCAAACTGCTTGTATTCTCAGGTCCACATTAGACAGGTACCCCGTGATCTTTTGGAGAAGACGAAGCGTTTTAGAAGACACGTCTTTACTTTTGTTCAAACTATTGTACAGTTAAAACATGTATCACTTTACTTTTAAACAAATGTAATTATTCATATGTAATGTAATGTTTTGTGTTTACTATGCTTACTATGTACATTGGTTGTGATACTACATATGACGTCATCTGCCCCGGAACGTTTCTGCCATCGGTTTCGAGGTGTGACAGGAGATCATCGTTCGAATGGGCTATGAGGGTGTCTTTCCTCCTAAAATCAAGAAACTTTTGCCACCTATTGGAGGTTCCTAATCCATGTGTTTATGAGTTGCATCTCCAGAAGGAGAGTTGGTGCCAACGAGATCTCGTTATTAAACACGGGTGCCATTGTTGCTTTAGCTACGGTTCTCGACTTCAACTTTTAAAGATTCATCTTGAATGAAATAATTGGCAATGTTAAAGGAAAAAGAAAAGATAAATTTCTCATGTTTCCGAGGTTCCTATAGATGATCTTCAACAGCAAATACCCGGAACTTGAGAAAAGAGGAGAAACACTTGATTTGAAGTCCATTGGTTCCAGTACTTTCAGGCTTATGAAGCAAAATATAAAAGGAAAATTCATGTTCCAAGGGAAATATCCATTGGTGAAATTTGGCCAATTCGTAGAAGTCAGTAATACATCTGAGACTGAAAGCTCCTCAACTCACGAAGAAACTGAAGATGAAGTAATTATTGCTTCTGAACACGAAGAGGAACCTGTTGCTCCAGTGGCGACTGTTTCCGAAGAGCATGTTCCGATAACAGTTGAAGAAGAAGATCATGATGAGAGTGATTTTAAGATGAGCTTAATGCAGAATTTTGTAAATGAAGGTGATGGTAAAGATGATATAAATCAGGGTGAAGATCTAAGCGATTATGATAACGATGATCTTATCTTCAGTTCTGAACAGGATCAAGATATAAGGTTTAGCACTAAAGACCTTGATGCTTTCTTTGACAACGTCAATGAAGTTGCACAATCTACAACTAAGACAGAGAGAGATGATAATTTTCTTAAGACAACACCTCCTACCTCAACTCAGATGGACGATACTTTAAATATTATGGATTCAACTTCAAGGATTCCTCCCCTTCCTATTGATATTCCAACTTCATTTCCATCTGATAGTGATCTTCATCTGACACAAGCCTCCTAGCCTCCAATTAAACGGAGAAGAGCCAATCCTAGGTCGGGAGTGCTAGTAAGGGAAAAAGCACCTCCAGTTCAACAATCCACCACAAATGCTACACCTACTCCACCAACCCAAGGAGGCCCAAGTGTTATACGGCCTTCTTATGAAGTCGGGAGCTCTTCAGCTCCTGGAGGTTCCTCTCCTCCACGACCTGCACATGATGTTGCCTCTGAGAGGCTTTCTAAGTTGTTAGCCCAACAAGATTCAGACCCTTCACCTTGCGGAAAAGGAATATCTATAGGGGAAGGAAATATAGGGAGCGGACCCGTAGATTGATTATCTGAAAGTAGAGATTGGAGTTCTGAACCAAAAGCTTATCGAAAAAGATGTTTTGATTGGAAACCTCGATGTTCAAATTTCTGATCTTGAAGAAGAAAATACTTTAAAATCAAAACAAATCTCCACTCTGCAAGTCAATCTTGGAGCACTATCGTCTGGATATTTCGACTTAAATAATAAGCTCATTGCTAAATTTGGTGACAAGTTCAAGACCATAGTCCGACATCCAAGTGCAACCCAGACTTCTCAACCAATTCCAGCCAATACATCCTCTTTTGATCAGCCTGATGACCATCCACCAATCAAAACCACAATCGTTGACCGTTTTGAAACAAAACCGAAGCAAGCCCCGCCAAGAATTACAATCAAAAGAGCTGGGAAACATGTCACATCACAGAAAATGGTAAGGCGGCTCTTCATGAAGAACTTTGATCAGAATCTTCCTGGAGACTAGCCTCAACTAAAAGTTATTGAGCTCGACAAGAAGAGGTTCAAGCACAAATACGATGACCGGTTAGGGATTCGGATGTGGGGCTTTCATGAGAGACTCAATTTCTGGCTGGTGAAAAGAAAAAGTAACAATGTGGAATATTATAAGGACAAGAACGATTTTTCTTCCCTCACCAAAGTGTATCTCACTAAGTTTTCTACAGCTCCATTCTCCAATCCTTCCAATGACCCTCATGCAACTCATTTTTAAACTCTTCGTAGAGAACCAAGCAAGGAAAAGATTTAATGTGATGAAGACTACCGAATCTTTCTTGAAGACAGCTAAAGATGTGCTTGACCCGATCACCAAAAAGTCCTTAAAGAACGTAATGTGGCCTCCAACGAAGCAAATGACAAAGATTCCCATCGTCAAGAACTTTTTTGATGGTTTGCTACGTGACATGCAGTACTGGGTCTACGATGAAGCCACATCTACTGTTGTAATCAAGTTCAAAGATGGTGTCTTTCGTCTAGTTGATAAGAAGGACTTCCTTCAGTTTCGTGAAAGTGATATTCATACCTTATCTGCACATCAGATTTTATGCAATCAGAAGATTATGGAGGCTGCTTCCAAGGAGTTCACAGGCATGATCGCGGAAATTATTGACAAAAATATGTGGTTGGGCGCTATGGGGAGATCAGATGTGTTGGTGATTGAGAAAGACTGAATCTATGCTAGCTCAAACCAAGGGGGAGACTGTTAGGTCATATTTTGTTAGTTTGGGCTAGGCATCACTATGTATAGGTCTTCATAGGGTTTTGTTCATGTTATGTGTGTTTGCGGTTGTGTTTACAGCCGAGTAGGGTTCACGGTCTTGAATGGGTGTTCAGCACTGAACAGGTTTACGACTGGTGGTCCCTATAAATAGTGTTAGAATGTAGCAGAGTTATAGTTAGTCGTGAAATCGTATGTGTGTGTGTTCCAAGTGTACCAGATGTTTACTGCTTGATTATAACGTATGCATTTTTGGAACTTATTTGCTTCTACTCCTTTTTATTCTTATTGCTTTGCATCTCGATTGTGTTTGATTACTAGTTGGTTCGTGTTTGTGGGACTTACACATATAAATTACATGTGATTTATATGTGAACCACATGCGATTTATATGTGAATCACATATGATTTATATGTGAGTCACATGTAATTCATATTTGATTCACTTTTGAATTACATGTGATTCATATGTAAATCCCATGTGATTTATATGTGAATCATATGTAATTCATATTTCATATGATATTCTCTTGTGAATTACATGTGATTTATATGTGAATTACATGTTATTTATATGTGAATCACATGTGATTTATATGTGAATCAAATGTAATTCATATGTGATTGACTTGTGATTCATATTTGGATCACATGTGATTTATATGTAAATCACATGTAATTCATATGTGATTCACTTGTGAATTGCATGTGATTCATAAGTGAATTACATGTGATTTATATGTGAATCACATGTAATTCATATGTGATTCACTTGTGAATTACATGTGATTCACTTGTGAATTACATGTGATTCATATGTAAATTTCCCATTTTTTTAAGATGGAATTGAATAACATTGGATTTATAAGAAGGACAAGAAGCATTCCCTAAATTTAAGAAGAAAATGTAAAGTGTGATTTATTGGTGATTTTGAAAAGTATATAATTACATAAATGTTTTTAACAAAGGATCCAGAGGAGCATATTAATGTTATAGAAACTATAATGTTGTAATAGTACGATTAAAAAGCAATTACATTTAGAAACAATAGCAATGGATGAACTATCATCTACCAAAAGCTTCTAAACACCTAGAATAGTAGCAACAATTGCTTCATCAAGAGCTCCTAAAAACAAAGATATATACATCACATATAAACGGTTAAGCTACGATGGAAGAATAAATACAATGAGGTTTCAAATTCAGGGCCTAAAGTAGCAACAATATGATAGATTGTAATTACAAATACACAAAAGTGAATGTCATATGTTTGCATAACATCCATACGCAAAAATGATATATGAATTCGCACAGAGTATCAGACGGCAAACTACTACATTGACCATGGTAGAAATTAATTCTTTTTTTTGAAATTTCGTGTACAATAGAATGGTAAGGAGGTAAGATCATCAAAGAAATCGAGTTGTAGCAAAATAAATCGACTAAAATCAGATATTTACCATCAAACATTGGTTTAAACTCGACTTAAAACAAACATTCAAAATTTCAGCAAGAAAAACATAAAAAATGAGAGCTAAGGAGTACCTTCGGGGACAAGGAGAAGAATTCATCAGAGACGCACTACAGGGGTCGACGACACTGCTTGTCGACGGAGACCGGAGATGGGATGTCTGATGGCCGGCGAATGGTGGAGGAAGACGATGTGGAGCGTGGGTGTTAAAGAGAAAGGTGGAGGCGTGTTTTAGGTTTTGGGCAAAATAGACTGCATTTTGTGGTTTAGAATTCAGATTCAAAGGATCCAGAGTCTTCACCTTACTCGATTCAATGAATAAGCGAGATGGTTGACGGAGGAGACGATGGATTTGGACGCTGGTTCTGGATTGGGGAACACTCAACGATGAAGCTGTGAGAAAAAGAGGGATGAAGAATTTGGGACAAATAGGGCATCGATTGATTTGATGGAAATGAACTGAGTACCATAAATTCCCTTCAACTAATTTCAATACACTACTAGAAAAACAGCCTTTTACGACGCTCATTGCGCGTCGTAAAAGGCTCAGACGACGCGCAAATGCGCGTCAAGGAAGGCCCTGTCATAAAGAGAGACGACGCGCATTTACGACGCTCGTTTACGACGCGCAATTACGACGTGCATTTACGACACGCAATGCGTATCAAGGAAGGCCCTGTCATAAAGGAAGATGACACGCATTCGTGTGTCGTAACCTTACGACGCGCGTGTTAATGACACGCAATGCGTATTAAGAAAGCCCCTGTCAAGAAAGGCCATGTCATAAATGAAGATGACACACATTTTTGCGTATCATAATTTTAAATGTTTAAAAAAATAATCTTTATAGCTTTACTTATTTTCTAATTAAATTTGTATTCAATGTTTCATAATAGAAAATAAAATATCATATACAAAAATTAGAATCCATTGCTTAAATTTAATGTCATACAATTCTATTTCTTACAATACATAAATTTGCATCTAATCTACTATGTACATCAAATTTCAACTAAGTAACTTCACTCCATGCTTCAAATCACCAATAGAATAATAACAAACTGCACCTAGAGTAGACTACCTTCTTTTGGCTCCATTACTTCCCAAAGAGATTGACTCCTTCCATAACACCAGATTGTAATTCCTCCTTATCATTGGTATTGGAAATATCACAGAACTTGGTGTATTCCAAGATAATCTGATATCCTTAGTGCTAGGAGATGTTGGTGGGCATTAACCAATCGACCAATGAGAACTGATGGTGTAAGCAACTAAAGAACATATTAAAAGCATTAATGTAATAAATAATAATTATGAAATTTAATATATTAATGACATAATCAGTTTTAGCTAACTGATAGAGTAGTTATATAAATATGTTATTAACTAATATTATCATATCAACATTACAAACAGCAGATAAAAGATATAGCACCTTGAGTTATAGTTATGATTTAACATAAAAAAATGATATTTTTAAATATTTGGTGCTAAAATTAAAAATAATCACCTTTGCGTTCCATTCCATGTTCTTTAACTTCCCATTTAGCATTAACAATTCGATCAGCATACCTGCCAAGGGGCAGTTTAGACCTTTACCAATTCATATTTTCAGACTCTGCACTTTTCTTCATAATCCACTTGGACACAGTTTCACAGTCCACAAGGCGATGAGTTTCTTTTGTACACTACAACAATAGCAACAAAAATATTTTATCTTTTATATAGAAAAAACATAAACTAATATTTTAAACTTTTATAAAAATGCATGAATTATGATACTCACATTCCAACAAGAGTTGTATGAGCAATAGCAAGTTACATTATAGCTTCCACTTCCAAGATCAAACTCAATAGCACAATCACGTCTAGGAGCAAGTTAGAAAAATCTTTTTTTAAAGTAGCCAACAAGATTCAGACTACAATTACAGAAAATATAAAAAGTACCATGTATGGTCAAAAACAAGATTCAGACTACAATTATAAAAATCTTTTTTTTAACTAGCCAACAAGAGTTGTCAAGAAAATAAACTTACAGTGACAGATCGCAAATATCTTCTCTGAAACAAATCGAATATTTTGGCCTTCGGGAGCTTTTGTAGTGTTTCTATATAATCCTATCAACATATTCAAGACCCCATTGATAACACATAAAAAGAATTCTATAATTTTTATTCGTTAACAAAAATAAGAAAAAAGTTGAGAGCTTTGAAATGAACACCTGGATTTCATCCGCCTCCTCAGATATATCAGCATCCTTCCCTCTAAGTTTTCTTAGGGCTGCATCAAACTCTTTCTTTCTTCCAATCTTTGCCTGCATGCATGATGTCAAACATAATTTCTTTAAGATAAATTAAACAGCTTCATGAATCATGATACTTCACATACCAGCCATCTAGGAGATTCTGGTACAAAGAAAAGTCCCACTAATAGAACATCACAAGGGATTAATCATTAATCTTGCAAACAGAACACTAGAATTCATCACCTTTTATTTTCTTTATCCATAAGAATGCCACTAGTAGTAAATAAATATAATTTAGACTAATTTAAAACCTGTCAATGCCAAGGTCCTCCATGTTAGCACTGTACCAATTATAAAGGCAACAGACACTCCTGTACATATCTTGAATTCCACTAGTGGTAAATAAATTTAATTTTGGTGCACATCCCTGTAGTGTAGTGTACCAATCAATTATCAAATCAATTTTTTATTTTTTTATTACTAATATATGGTGAAAATATGTATCTCATAGTCAAGAGGCTTGCAGATGAGTCTCGCATGCAACAAGTTGGAAAAGCAGAGATTTTTCATTTTTATTTTTTGTTCTAGGAAGGGTATATCAGGCAACATTTAATCTTTAAATGCTCCCCTCCTTTACTTCCAATTTTCAATTTCCTATTTCCTAATAATTAGTTATACCTGAAAAGGGTGTGAATATCAGTTGTTGTAAAGAAGCCTCTTCCATTAAGATCTAAACATCAGAAAAGATATGTAATTCCCTCTGGAATGTCTTTGTTTTTAGGGCTAGAACAAAGTCAAGGAAACTCTCAAAGCCCATCTCCCGAGCATTTCCTCTTCCCGTTTTACCCCTATGCACATGCTCATCAAAAGTTATTAGACAGGTTAATATCACAAGTCATTCTAAATATATATAAATTATCAGATTGAAAAAATAACAGAAAAAGATAAAATAAGAAAGTAATTCTTAGTTCTTACCCCTCTCGATAAAAAGCAATAGAACAATGTTCGGGTGATGCCTGATATAAAAAAGCAACCATGTAAGTAAAGTCTGAAAGCATGAAATTCTTATGCATCAAGAAAAGATTTCATGCAACAAATAAGTTATATAAAGAACATTAAGATAGAAGGGATTTGCTAATTGCTATTCAAAAAGTGGAAAGAAGACTCTGTAGCTTTTGATTCATGAAAACTTTCTGGATTCTTTGAAAGACTCCCGACTGATTCTAAAAACTATTAAGTAATCAAATCCCCTTTATTGTCTATAACATAAATCAAAACTCATAGTTTTTGTTCAGTTTTTTTTCATTTTGTTTTTTGGGTGATGTGTAACATGGTTTTCTACAAATATATATAAAAAAGCCACCATATGAATCAAAAAGAGGAAGTTTATGCCCAAGAACTCTAAAGAACATAGGGGGGTTGCTATAGCAGCAGTAAGATACTACCTGAATGGATGCTTGATCATCCTCATGAGGAATGACATTGTCTACATCCATGGTATCGATACCTGTAGAAGCAGCCAAATCTCTATTAACTGTAGTTGATGGATGCTCTTGGATAGCTGATGATTGAGCAACAACTGTTTCACTATCACCCATAGTAAATAGGTGATTAATTGTATCTTAAACCTGTATAGAAGATAACAACCGTGAACAACCAAGGTAACCATACAAAGGTGATAGCAGTTCGAAATTCTCAACCATGTAACATCGAATCAGTCCAAATAAACACAAAAAGTGCTAAAAGTTATATATTTTAACTAGGCAATACAAGTAGAGGTCTAAATGAAGAACTAGATAACCTAATCATAATAATATTTCCAATTAGCTATATTTGTGATACAGTTGCATGAAGAAAAAAAAGTTGCCACAACTTTTGCAAGAGTAGACTCAGTATGTTAAATAGGAATACAATATTGAAACTTGAAACCTACGAAACTATATCAGTGTTTGTTTGAGTGTGGAGTACCCACTACATAATTAGAGATAATCCATTCATCAGCCAAGGAAACTCTATACTCTAGTCTTTTTATAAGTTCTTCAGTTAAGCTTTCCCATTAAAATTTCCATATCTCTGTAACAATCAACCTTAACGCAAACCCTAAAGGTTGTCGTCTCTGTGGCAATTAACATGCATAAGTTATATATTAAGCAGTAACAAAACATAAACAAAGAATAACAATTATATCTTTTGATTTTGATCAACTGTTAATAGTTATATTCCTTTTGTTATCCTATATCACTTTGCTGTCCATATGAAGCCCTTCGGGCCCACACATATTCAAAGTTCACAAGTACGATGAAGTGAACAGGTGAATCTCCGGTTGCCTCTGTATACATTATCAAAAAAAATGTTAAAAACCTGATGCAAGTAGGGTTTTCTGATAGCAGTCTCAAAATCAATTATCTTGGAATCAAATTCTTTAGCCTTCTTGTACAGCTCTTCTCTAATGGCAATATAAGACTTCACCTCTCCAGCTTCTGTTACGCCTTCACTTACAGGTTTAGAAGGTTTCTCCACTGCATCCAGATGAAATTCCCATTCACTTTCTTCAATATTATTGGCTTCGTCTTTAGAATTTGTTGCAGCTGCAACTTCCTCAGGGGTTTTCAATTCAGAGAAAGGGCGACTTGCTATTAATCCCTAAAGCTGTAAAGTGTAGGAAAGAGTATGACCATTTTTAGTTTATTTTGGACCTAACAAAATCTAGAGGCTCTTCTACGTAAAAAATTGTATATCACCTGTTATAATAGCAGTCCAATTGCTAATTAGGATGCTCCGATATCCGTGTGTATATCAATGCAAGATTGGACCACTATTGTTGTTGGTACTCGTATTCGATGTATTTATCCCATAAAGGAAAAGATATGTAGGTAATCAGTTCCAGCATAAGCTCGTATTTGATGTATTTCGAGATCAAAATCAAAATGTCGCCATCGTTAGATTAACTGCCTGGCACAAGATCTTGTTCGATTAAATTTCTGAAAGAAGAACGCAAAAAACTGGGAGGATATAAGAACCAAGGTCGCCGGCAGGTGGGGCGAGCGGAGGTAGCGAATGTTGCAGAGAGCACTCCCGTTTGGTTTCTTCTTGAAAAAAAGCCCTAGATTTGGACGCCTTTTGTAATTGAGGATAATGGTGGTGACGGTCGATTGTGTAGAGGTGAGTATGAGGTAAGGTGGAATGAGATCTTATGAAAAAAAAAAGCCCTAGATTTGGACGCCTTTTGTAATTGAGGATAATGGATGTGCATTTGGTAAAATAATTATAAAACGACGCCTTTACAATCCAGAAGGTGGAGGATAGAGATGAGAGAAAACCTGGTGGAGGAGAGACGAGAAGGTGGTGGTGTGGATTAGGGGTTGTTCAACTGGTAGCTTCGATTAGGGGGTGGAGACGAGGGAGAAGAAGGTGGGGGTTTAAAAAATTTGAAGATTTCATTTTCCCTCTAAGGAGAAGCGCGTTTCTTAAAAAAAAAAATATAAAACGACATTCATAGACGGCGCACCTTTTAGATAAAGTGCCCTCCGTGTTTTTAATTTTTTTACATGAGACACTAATTTAAGGGCACGCAATAATGCGCGACCTAAATTCTTAAATTTTTTGAAGAGATAACACTTTTTTAACATCACTCTCTTTTGCGTAACATAAATCTCCAAGTGTCGTTGTTTGCGCGTCGTAAAAGGGTCTTTTTCTTGTAGTGATACCATACCTCCATGTGTTATTTTTTCTGATTATTTACAAAAATGTCACAAATCATCTTGACCTTCTATTAATTTGATCTAAGGACTATTATTTGGTTCTCAGATTCTTAGGAATATATGAGTTCTCAAATGATCATATATATATATATATATATATATATATATATATATATATATGTGTGTGTGTGTGTGTGTGTGTGTAACATCCTAAAAATACAAGCCAAAAATTTCGTTTCTAAAATCATTTAACAAACATAATGTTATCACCATAAGATAAAATCATCAAACATGTATCTCAAAATCTTATAAAACTTGTCAACATATAACTGTCTCATATAATAAATCAGAGTAAGCTCCCAGGCTAATAAACTGTGGTGTGTGCCATGCCATCAACTCGAGCCCTTCCCTTTGCTAGCTGAAGTACCTGAAACTAAAACTGAAACCATAAGCACGAAGCTTAGTGAGCTCGACCATCGGGACGAATCCCAACATCGGCTTACCCGGCATCGGACTCCTGTCCGGCATCGAGCTCACCCCGACATCCGACTGCATCGGGCATTGGGCTTACCCCAACACATACATAGCATAACATATATCGTAAACACATAACATAATCACATAATCTACATCGGGCTTGCCCCGGAACACATAATACATAGCATAATATCTAACATACATCGGGCTTGCGTCAGCATCGGGCTTACCCCGGAACACATATCACATAACATGTAAACTAACATACATCGGGCTTTCCCTGGCATCGGACCGAAGTCCGGAACACATAGCACATATCATATAACATGCATGAATCACAAAGACATCACGCATACTTAAATACTTCTTAGGAACGCCCTGACATCGGACCGAAGTCCGGAAACATATATATTGCATCAGGCTAACCTCGGCATCAGGCTAACCCCGACATACTCTACTACATAAACGGGTCGGCATTGGTGCCTTAGACCCGTACCTACTGAAGGAAAACTCACCTCGTGTGTCTGGCTGCTGAAACTCTGGGTAAGGAATCTCTACATGCTGCTCTGGCGACTCCCCGACTATAATTTCCATAAAGACACTTAGTCAAAAATTGATAACTAATCTTAGGGTGAAATCACCATTTTACCCCCAGCTAAAGTCGACATCCTAGTCAAAGTCAACATCCAGTTGACTCGACTCACCGAGTTGGTCCGCCAACTCGCCGAGTCCCCATTCTTGCATCTATCTCCAATCTGACTCTACTCGTCGAGTCTAGCAAGAACTCGACGAGTTCCCCTTCAATCATAACATTAGGACAATCTTCAACTGACTCGTCGAGTTCCTCCTTGAACTCATCGAGTCCGTCTTCATCATATGAGTGTTTCTAGTCTGGGACTCGCCGAGTTGTATGAACAACTCGTCAAGTCCGTCTTCATGGGTTATGAGATTGCCTTGGACTCTCCGAGTGTGTTCATACACTCGTCGAGTCCCATGGTTTCCAGGTCTATAACTTCATTTACTTCGTTGAGTCCTTCTTCTGGACCCATCTAAATCCCTTCTAAACTCAATTGGATTCCTCCGAATCATAGAAGGTTGGGGAACCAAGCCCCCGACTCACTGAGTCCCAAGAACGACTCGTCGAGTCGACTAATGTCCAAGTCTATAACTCGATTTCTGATGTGCAAATCTCATCCAAAAGGTAGATCTGGGCTCCTACAATTGATATAACACGTAAAGTCATGAACTTTACATGCATGTATGGGACATTACTGCTCAAAGGGCCAAAAAGGAGGGTTTATTACATACATGTGGTTCTCATGACCATAAGGATGGGACCTTTATGGCATGAGGACCCTTCAAGGTTCCAGATCTGAAGGTGTATCAACTTGGGACGTCCAATTCCCATGAATCAAGCTTCTTGGCCCAAAACTCCATAAAATAACCATAAGGAGATCTAAGAAACCACAAGTCAAGTGTGAAGCTTTATTACCAGAAAGTGAGGAGAAGATGATGTTGTTCCTAGATCTACAACCTCTTCTTGAAGCCTTCCTTCTTCCCCTTCTTCACACAAGCTCCAAGTTACACAAGATTACTTAATATGGCACAAAATAGCTCAAAGATACTCTCAACTACTTAGGGTTTCGAGGATAGGACTTGGGGGTGATGGAGGTTGGGGTGGAAGCCTCATAAGTTGTTTAAATATGGTGCAAACCCTCTAATTTAGGGTTTCACTCAGACAGCTCCTACTCGACGAGTCAGTCTTCTGACTCGTCGAGTAGGTCACTTAATCCCCCGACCTAGAGTTGATCCTACTCGACGAGTAGAGCCCTCAACTCACCGAGACTAAGAGTAAAATATGAAGTTTGACTTGAATTTAAATGTGTACCTGAGACTAGATGTTACAATATATATATATATATATATATATATATATATATATATATATATATATATATATATATATATATATACATGGTTGTAGAACTCGCTACTCGGCACCTGTTCGGCCAACTACCGAGTAGCGAGTACTCGGGAGTACTCGCGAGTACTCGGGGAGTACTCGGATTCGGTAATTTATGTAGAAATATTTTTAAGGAAATTATATATGTCAAAATTATAAGTTAAAAACAATATTTTATTGAGATATATAACAAAATTAGATACATGTGAGTTCACAAAAACTGAGAAATACAAAATGGTCTTACTTCATCAATAATTACTGAAAATTTTAGATATATATGTAGTAATAGTCACAAGTGTGTGTGTTAAATAACAAATCATTACGTATATTACACATATTAATCACCGGGTTGGACGAGTTTTACAACACTGCTCGCTTGAATAAGCGGTCGATCGGGGAGTACTCGGATTCTGTAACTCGACTCGGTAAGGGGCCGAGTAGCGAGTACTCGGGCGAG